CTGGCGCATGCCCAGCAGGGGGCTAAGGCGGGGCACTCCTAGGAAGACGCATGCGCGGGACAAGAATGGGAGGCGGCCCCCAAGGCGAACGCATGCGCAGGAGAGCCAACGAGGCACTGCACTGGCGCCGTGCCTTGCGCTTGCCCAGAACCATGGAGACCAGCTACGGCCAGGGAGTCACGCGCCCACAGGACAAGTCCCTGGCGCATGCCCAGCAGGGGGCTAAGGCGGGGCACTCCTAGGAAGACGCATGCGCGGGACAAGAATGGGAGGCGGCCCCCAAGGCGAACGCATGCGCAGGAGAGCCAACGAGGCACTGCACTGGCGCCGTGCCTTGCGCTTGCCCAGAACCATGGAGACCAGCTACGGCCAGGGAGTCACGCGCCCACAGGACAAGTCCCTGGCAGGCAGCAGCAGCTGCTCCTGGGCGCCTGTTCCCGCTGCAGCTTCCCTCTAGAGACACGAGACGGGCCAGGGAATATCACTGACTGCACCGTCTGCTGGCGAAAGCAACCAGCTTTCTGGCTTACACACGTGATCTTTTCTGCCTGGAGCCCCAGGCATAACCAGCCCTGGGAACAGCACAGGCCTGGTTTTGGGGAAATACCACCACACTAGGCATCAGTGAACACCCAGTACAGTGCTGGCTGGAGAGGCTGATACACAAAGATGAAGATCATAGAATATTAGAACCAGAAGGGACCTGGAGAGATCATCAAGTCCAGACCCCTGCTCTCAGAGGTCATCCCTGACAGATCCTATCTAACCTGCTGTTGAATATCTCTAGTGATGAATATCAGAGGGGTAGCCGTGTTAGTCTGAATCTGCAAAAGCGACGAGGAGTCCTGTGACACCTTATAGACTAACTGAAGTGTAAGAGCATAAGCTTTCGTGGGCAAAGACCCACTTCGTCAGGTGCAACTCCTCGTCGCTTTTGCAGTGATGAAAATTCCACAACCTCCCTAGGCAATTTATTCCAGTATTTAGCCACCCTGACAGGAAGTTTTTCCTAATGTCCAACCTAAGCTTCCCTTGCCGCAATTTAAGTCCATTGCTTCTTGTCCTATCATTAGAGGCCCTGCAGAACAATTTTTCTCCCTCCTCTTTGTGACACCCTTTTAGATACTTGAAAACACCTATCATGTCTCCTCTCAGTCTTCCCTTTTTTAAACTCAACAAGCCCAATTCTTTCAGGCTGTGTCTACACTGGAGCAATCTCACGCAAAAACTTGCTGCCTGTCTACATGGGCCACGTGTTCTTGTGCAAGTAAACTGAAGTTCTAATGTATAAAATCAGGGCTTCTTGTACGAGAACTCAGATGCTTCCGCTCAGGAATAAGCCCTCTTGCACAAGAGCTGTTCTAGAAGAGGCCAATGTAGACAGGCAACATGAATTACTTGCACAAGAAAGCCCTGTGGTTAAAATGGCCATCAGAGCTGTCTTGCGCAAGAGAGTGTCTACACTGGCAAGGATGCTCTTGCACAAAAGCACATGCCAGTGTAGATGCTCTCTTCTGGAAGAGTTTTTGCAGAAGCTCTCTTCCACAAAATAGTTTTTGCATGAGAACGCGCCAGCGTAGACATAGCCTCATTCTTCCTTCATAGGTCACTTTCTCTAAACCTTTAATCATTTTTGTTGCTCTTCTCTGGACCTTCTCCAATTTCTCCACATCTTTCTTGAAATATGGTGCCCAGAACTGGACACAATACTCCAATTGAGCCCTGATCAGCGCAGAGGAGAGCAGAAGAATGACTTCTTATATTTTATTCACAGCACTCCTGTCAATGTGTCCCAGAATCATGGTGTTTTTCTGTGTTTGTTTTTGGCTTTTTTTTTTTTTTTTTTTTTTTTTTTTTTTTTTTTTTGCAAGTGTTTCAGGAGTCTCCATCCCTAGAGGTGTTTATGTCTCGGCTTGACAAAGCCCTGGCCGGGTTGACTTAGATGGGATTGGTCCTGCCTAGAGCAGGGGGCTGGACTTCATGACCTTCTGAGATCTCTTCCAGTTCTATGATTCTTACCTCCTTTTAACACCCTTTTAAATACTTGAAAACTGCTCTCATGTCTCCCCTCTCAGTCTTCTCTTTTCCAAATTAAACAAACACAGTTCTTTCAGTCTTCCCTCATAGCTCATGTTTTCTAGACCTTTAATCATTTTTGTTGTTCTTCTCTGAACCCACTCCAATTTCTCCACATCTTTCTTGAAATGTGGTGCCCAGAACTGAACACAATGCTCCAGTTGAGGCCTAATCAGAGCAGAGTATAGTGGAATAATTGTTGTGCCTTGCTCACAATGCTCCTGTTAATGTTTGCTTTTTTTCCAATAGTGTCACACTGTTGACTCATGTTTAGCCTTGTGGTCCACTATGATCCTAGATCTCTTTCTGCAGTACTCCTTCCTAGGTCACTTCCCATTCTGTATGTATGTAACTGATTGTTCCTTCCTAAATGGAGTACTTTGCATTTGACCATATTAAACTTCATCCTATTTACCTCAGACCATTTCTCCAATTATGAGCCTATCCTCCAAAGCACTTGCAATGCCTCCCAGTTCGGCGGTATCTGCAAACTTAATAAGCATACTCTCTATGCAATCTGAAGAAGTGGGTTTTGCCCACAAAAGCTTATGATATTATATACATTTTTGTTAGTCTCTAAGCTGCTGCAAGAAAATTCACTGTAAGTTTTTTCAGATGCAGACTAACATGGCTACTACCCCTCTGAATCTCTATGCCAATACCTAAATCATTGATGAAAATATTGAACAGAACTGGTCCCAAAACAGACCACTGCGGAACCCCACTTGTTATGCCCTTACAGCATGTCTCTTCTCTCTTATCCAGCCAGTTATGCATCCACCTTACAGTAGCCCCAGCTAGGTTGTATTTCCCTAGTTTATTGATAAGAATGCCATGCAAGACCGTATCAAGATCTCACGTAACTAAAGAAATGCATTCCTAAGAGATAGTACAAGAACACATCAATCCATCTTCACCTAAGGATAGAATGACTAGATATAATGGATACAGATGTTTTGTTTGAACTAAGAGAAGAACAGTGGTAACTAACAATATCTGGACTATAATACATGATGGCTGTGTCTAGAGTGGCCAGTTTTCCCGAAAATCAGCCGCTTTTCTGGAAAAACTTGCCAGCTGTCTACACTGGCCACTTGAATTTCTGCAAAAGCACTGACTTCCTACTGTAAGAAATCAGTGCTTCTTGTGGAAATACTATGCTGCTCCCATTCAGGCAAAAGTCCTTTTGTGCAAAAGGGCTAGTGTAGACAGCTCAGATTTGTTTTGCGCAAAAAAGCCCCGTTCGCAAAAATGGCGATCGGGGCTTTTTTGCGCAAAAGCACATCTAGATTGGCATGGACGCTTTTCCGCAAAAAAATGCTTTTGCAGAAAGCGTCCGTGCCAGTCTAGACACTCTTTTCCAAAAATGCTTTTAACGGAAAACTTTTCCATTAAAAGCATTCCCAGAAAATCATGCCAGTCTAGACACAGCCGATTTATTTATAGCAGTGAATAAAAGGCAACAGCAGCCTATGGCACTGACTGAGCAAGTATCATTGCTGTGGGCAATGTTAGCATACCTGTAACCAGGGAAACCTGGCACAGCACTTGTGGAGAAGCTCTGTTTTGTAGGTAGTGCCTTCACTAAGTGCTACAGTGGTGTAGGGGCAGATGTAAATGTATACAAACTAGGGATGTTAAATGGTAAGTTTAACTGGTTAATTGATTAAACTGGAGGCATGGTGGTGGGGGAGGGGGGACTGTTCCAGCGCAGTTGGGCTGGAGTGGCTCCCAAACCCACCATGGGATACTCCCCACCCCAGCCATGGCTGCAGCAGCCCTCTTACTGCAAGCAGGGGCTGTTCCAGACCAGCTGCTTCCAGCTCTGCACAGGGCTGCCAGCACCCAACAGTTCCACATGAGGGCCCAGCTCTCCACCTATGATGGGCTGCAGGCAGGGGCTGCTCCTCAGGTACAGGTAATACTGTGTAAACTCAAAAGCTTCTCTCACACCTGTGGTTACCAACTAATAAGATTAGGATCTAACCAGTAGATCTTGGTGCTTAACATATGATCCTGACTGGTTTGGCCAAGCTGTCAAGCACTGGCACTCCAGTTGCCCTACCACTTCTGCCCTCTGCCTTGGAGCTGCCCCCAGGAACCTCCTTTTTGCTGTGCAGGGCGTGGGAGGGACAAGAGGAGGGATGCTGATGTCAGGAGTTTCTCCTCCGCCCATCCTGTATCCTATATACACACAGGAGAAGGGGATGGAGGAAATTTAGTAATGCAAGTCTGTCACACTCACTGTGTGGGTGTTATTCTCTCACACACTGTCTTTCACGGTCATCTCCCAACCCAACACATACATGGGGAGTGGTTGTTACACTTTGCAAGCAGTAAAAAGTGTTATTTTTGGTTTTTGACTTGTCTGTGCATTCCATGATTTTAATTTCTCTTATGCCTTGAGTAGTGAGTTCTAAAATGCCTAGCCAGTCATGGCTAGAGTAATTATCCCTATAATTGCTGCTCCTGGAAAGGTAAAGCAGGGGGTTTCCACATGCTGTCCTTACCTGCAGACACCACCCCTGCAGCTCCCATTGATCAATAACAGGGAAACAGTGACCAGTAGAAGCTGTGGGTTCAGTGCCTGTAGATGAGGGGCAGCACATGGCACCATGGAGCCATTGCTGTACATGCCAGCTGCTTTCAGGAATGGTGCAGGGCCAGGGCAGAAGTAAGCCTGCCTTAACTCCACTGCTCCACCACCTGGAAGCCATCTCAGGAAGCAGGCTCTAACTGAACCCTCACTTGCATCCCATCTCCTGCCCCAGATGTGAGTTCTCTTGCACTCAAACTCCTTCCCAGAGCTTGCACCCTGAAAACCCTCCTGGACTCCAATTCCCGACCCTGGGCTAAGCCAGGAGACTCTCCCACATTCCAAACTCCTTGGCCCAAGATCAGAGCCTGCTCCCCACCCTCTTATCCAGCCTGGTGAAAGTGAATGAGGCTGGGGGATGGAGTAAGCAGGGTGAGGACTCGAAGGGGAGGAAGTGGGACAAGGGTATTTGGGTTTGAGGTAGATCTTACATTGCACTTAAATTGAAAAAGTGATCTTGTGATTAAAAAGTTGTAGACCACTGTCTCTCACAAACAGAAGTTAGTCCAATCAAAGATACTTATCTCACCCACCTTGTCTCTCCTGGGACCAAAGTGGTTACAACAATACTGCATAAAGCTCAGAGTTGTAAATCTCATTTTCATTATGGCATTTTTTGCAGAGTTGCATCTTATAGCACCATACTGAGCACTGTTTTAGTAATGCTTCAGAGGGAAGTAGCACCACATCTAATTTGTATACCCACCTGTGTTTTGAGGATTTATCCCAGGACTGACCAGGATCAAGTCTATTTAGCTTAGCTTGTGACATCTCATGTGTTCACAGCTCAAGGTTGTGTACCTCATTTCCAGAACACACAAGTTTACTATGAACCTTTGCTTGAATAAAGGAAGCTCTAAAAAGAGCAAGGGTTGAGAATAGATTAGATAAATACGTTTAATGAGTCATGCCCAGCAAGATGGTCTCCTTTCCAATAGGCTAAATTCTGTACAGCATTACTGAAGCTAGAGCCCTATCCCTGGATCTCCAGCCAGGCTGCTTCTTTTCAGTTAATCATATGAAGTCCAATCTTATTCAAACTTCTCTTCATACTTGGCCAGGTCACAGGTAAGGTTGATCTTTGGACAGCTCCCACTTCTCAAGTGGAACTCCTGGTGTCACTGGGTTTCTCTTGGTTGTTGCTACTGCACAGTCCGAGCTGGGGGACAGACAGAGAATGAACTTTCAGTTTATACAATCAATCAATATTTAACAGAATCAGAGCTGGAAGAGACCTCAGGTCATCAAATCCAGCCCCCTGCTCTAGGCAGGACCAATCTCAACTAAATCAACCCGTCCAGGGCTTTGTCAAGCCGAGACTTAAACACCTCTAGGGATGGAGACTCCACTACTTCCCTAGGTAACCCATTCCAGTGCTTCCCTACCCTCCTAGTGAAATAGTTTTTCCTAATATCCAACCTGGACCTCTCCCACCACAACTTGAGACTGCCATCTGTCACTACCGAGAACAGCCTTTCTCCATCCTCTTTGGAACCTCCCTTCAGGAAGTTGAAGGCTGCTATCAAAACCCCCCTCACACTTCACTTCTGCAGACTATACAGACCCAACTCCCTCAGCCTCTCCTTGTAAGTCATATGCTCCAGCCCCCTAAAAACAGGGTTTCATTAATATAGAACATTTTAGGGAACATATTTCCAACCTTAACATCCCTGCTTAGCCTACAGACAGTAAATAGACACTACACAGTAATCCATTCCTTCACAGTGACACCTACCAAACAGTCAAGACCATTTATCACTGCAGGAATGTGTTCTATAGTCATGCACAAGACCATTTATCACAGAAGGAATAAATTCTATAGTCATGCACCAGCCAAATACAGAACAGACTTGACCCTGCTTAGCTTGGAAGATCACAATATCATAAGAACAGCCATACTGGGTTAGACCAAAAGTCCCTCTAGTCTAGAATCCTCTCTGCTGACAGTGGCCAATACCGGATGCCCCAAAGGGAGGGAACACAACAGGTAATTCTCATGTGATCCTTCTCCTGTCACCCATTTCCAGACAGAGGCAGGGACACCACTGCTACCCATAAATGGCTAACAGCCACTGATGGACCTAACCTCCATGAATGTATCTAGTTCTTTTTTGAACCCTATTAAAATCCTCATTTTCACCACATCCTCTATCACGGAGTTCCACAGGCTGAGTAAAGAAAAACTTCCTTTTGTTTGTTTTAAAACGGCTGTCTATTAATTTTATTTGGTGATCCCTAGTTCTTATATTGTGGGAATAAGTAAATAACTTTTCCTTATTCACTTTTTCCACACCAGTCATGATTTTATAGACCTCTGTCTGATCCCCCCTTAGTCTCCTCTTTTCTAAGCTGAAAAGTCCAAGTCTTTTTAAATCTCTCTTCATACGAGATCCGTTCCAAATCCCTAATCATTTTTGTTGCCCTTTTCTGAACCCTTTCCAAAGTCAAAATATCTTTTTTGAGGTGAGATCACCACATCTGTACACAGTATTCAAGACGTGGCCGTACCATAGTTTTATACAGGGGCAGTAAGATATTCTGTGTCTTATTTTCTATCACTTTTTTATTTATTCTTAAGCCAGAAGTAGGATGGCTGCAGATCACAGAATAAATAGGACTTACCTAACACCTTGAGCACCTGATGCAAGGGATTTCTGTGGAGACACAACAATAACTGGAGGATAGGACTCCCTGCGTCCATCACGAGTACAGTAGTAGTTATTTGCAAACTTGTGATTGGGACCCACTGGTAGTTTAGGGGGTGGCTGAGTTCTAAACAGCAAAGAATCAAAACAAAGAATCAACACACACACCATGCTAAGTGAGAACCACATTCTCAGTGTTACTTTTGAGTGGACTATGATGGCACTGTGGTATTATGCATATAGGACACACTAGCATTACATCTTGAGCCACCTTCCAAGACTACAGAATGAACACAGAATGCCTTAGACAGTCACGGCTATAAATACAGAACTGGAGTCATGAATATCTTACTATACTTTAAGAAGTTTTTTCCTGCAGGGCAACAGAGTAATGTTACTCTGCGTCCCGCAGCCCCTTCTTCTGCCCTCAGCCATTTGGTCCTTCTTTTTCCCCATGCTCCGTGGGAGCTGTGAAGCCAAGCAGCCTCCTCCATTCTCTGACCTGCCCTGGCAAAGCCTGGGGTGGCAGGAGCCACAGGCTGTGTGGCACCCAGGGCATGCGGATTTCCCACTCCTCAGCGTTCTGGGATGAGGCCACACAGCTGCCCTACTTTGTCCCCTCCCCAACCCCATGATCCCCTATTGGCTCCATGGCACACAAGCTGGAGGTTAAACCCTCTCCCTGCATCCAGACCTTGATGCCTCTCCCCACCCCCAATCAGCTCTGTGCGCATGGGCCAGCAGTCAACTCCTCCCACAAACACTGCCAGCCCCTGAGCATCCCTCCAGCAGCCACCATGTGGATAGGAGCTTCTGGAATTTAAATTGAACTGCATGGCTCCTCTGCTGTGCGGGGTAGTGGACTCGGGTGAGGGGCATGGGAGCTGTGTGACCTCTTTGAGGCTGGGGTATGTTTGAGCCGTGCAACTTTTGGGGGGAGGAGAATGCGGGAGCCACACAGCATTGCAGGGGCTTGTGTGGGGGAAGGTGGATATGCAGGAGCTGTGGGGGCTTGGTGGCGTGGGGGAGCTGCGCAGCCTCATGAGAGCTCGAGTGTGGTGAGTGGAGGCATGGGAACTTCTGAGGATGGGGTTCTGGGGGGAGCAGGGACGTGGGAACCACGTGGCCTTGCAGGGGGGGGTGCGGGAGCTGCAAAGCCTTGTGGGGGCTTGGGTAGGCAGTGCGCAGAACTTGTGTGGCATCACTGATGGTCTGGGGGCACCCTTACCAGCAAGGGGCCAGAGCCATGTGGCCTCCCCCCTTGTGGCCAGAGGGAGAGGGCCAGGAGCAGCGCTCCCTTCCCACTCCCTGCCAGAAAGATAGAGCCAGCCCAGCTTTGGTCCAGCCCAACTCCCCACCCTCTGACAGCTGGAAGGCAGAGACCCGGGGCAGGCCAGGGAGGCCACGCCTTGACCTGGCCCTGCCCAGTGGCCAGGGGAGAGCTGGGGCATGTGTGTGCCCACCAAGTGACCAGGGCTGGCCCAAGCCATTCTTGCGCCCTGAACCCCGGGCATGGCAGGGCCAGCTTGAGCCATTCCTGCGCCCCAGGCAGTGGGCGCGCGATGCATGCTCGGCTCTGCCCCTGGCGTGCTGCGTACCTTACAGCTGCAGTTGGGTGCGTGGTGCCTGATGACAGCTCTAAGGGGCACCGCACGGCCCCCGGTCCCGGGCATGCGGCGCCCCTTACAGCTGCCATCAGGCGCCCCCCGCAGCTGCCAGGCTAGTCTCCCCCTTAATCCGGCCCTGTGCGCAGTGCATGCGTGGTACCCCCCTAGATGGGTGGCGCTTGAGCAGCCCCGCTCCCGGGCTCCTGGCAGCCCCAAAAGGTTGGGGACCACTGGGTTAATGCTATAGACTACACGCATTCCCCTGCACCAGTAATTTTTTAGCAGACTGACTTGCTTAAAGCCAATTCCTCATGGGCATTGGCTCCCACTCCTTCCCCCTGCCGCCACCAATATAGAGATAGGGTGTGGGGGGAGGGTGCATGTATTCAATAGGATTAACCAATACGTGTAGTTGAAGTACACGCAGTCCCCGGGTTACGTCCAAGATAGGGACTGTAGGTTTGTTCTTAAGTTGAATCTGTATGTAAGTCGGAACTGGCGTCCAGATTCAGCCGCTGCTGAAACTGATCAGTTTCAACAGTGGCTGAATCTGGACGCCAGTTCTGACTTACATACAGATTCAACTTAAGAACCCCAGGCATCCCCAAGTCAGCTGCTGCGGAAACTGATCAGCGGCTGATTCCAGGAAGCCCGGGGCAGGGGCTTCCTGTAGTCAGCCACTGGTCATTTTCAGCAGCTGCTGACTTGGGGACACCTGGGGCAGAGCAGCTGGGGTGCTGCTGGGGTGGTCCAGTGGCGCCCAGAGCGGCTCTATGGGACCAACCGGCAGCGCCCCAGCTGCTGTACCACAGGCGTCCGGAGCAAAGCCGCGGAGCACGGGGGCAGCGGGACAGCCCAGACGCGCCGTAGCTATCCTGCTGCCCTCGGGCTCCGTGGCTTTGCTCTGCTTTGCTCCCCGTCCCCCTGGTCTGCAGACCAGGGGGCGGGGGAGAGTAGAGCGGAGCACGCGGCCAGCTGACAGCCCAGACGCGTCTGGGCTGTCAGCTGGCCGCGTGCTCCGCTCTACTCTCCCCCGCCCCCTGGGCTGCAGACCAGGGGGAGCAGAGCAGAGCACGCGGCCAGCTGACAGCCCAGACGCGTCTGGGCTGTCAGCTGGCCGCGTGCTCCGCTCTACTCTCCCCCGCCCCCTGGGCTGCAGACCAGGGGGAGCAGAGCAGAGCACGCGGCCAGCTGACAGCCCAGACGCGTCTGGGCTGTCAGCTGGCCGCGTGCTCCGCTCTACTCTCCCCCGCCCCCTGGGCTGCAGACCAGGGGGAGCAGAGCAGAGCACGCGGCCAGCTGACAGCCCAGACGCGTCTGGGCTGTCAGCTGGCCGCGTGCTCCGCTCTACTCTCCCCCGCCCCCTGGGCTGCAGACCAGGGGGAGCAGAGCAGAGCACGCGGCCAGCTGACAGCCCAGACGCGTCTGGGCTGTCAGCTGGCCGCGCGTTCCACCGCTCTGCTTCCTCTCCCTGGTCTGCTGGAGACCAGGGAGAGGAAGTGCCCCGTTCGTAACTGCGGATCCGACGTAAGTCGGATCCGCGTAACTCGGGGACTGCCTGTATCATTACTAGGCTCCAGCCCACAGGCAGAAAGCCACAAATTAATTCCAGTTGCTGGAAAATGAGTATAGCTGCTGCTGAGAACAGACAGCTAACATTGCTACTGAAATCTTAAGTGTGACCAACAAAAGAAAACCCCCACATGTTTTGGTTCTTTAGGAAGCATAAAAAGATTGGAGAACTTTTGGGGTTTTTACAGTTTTATTATTTGCTTTAGAAATATCAGGACTGTCCAGGTTTTTGTACTCTATAGAAATCTCAAACACGGATCTGAACACTTTTAGTCCCTACATGATAAATGGTTGGCTGAAGCATAATCTTAAAAATCCAATATGCTTCTCGAGCATTTAAATTATTTGTAATAGCACTAATCCATTTTTCTACCTTTGAAGGTCTCTCTCAACCTTCATAGTTCCTGAGATTTGTTTTGAAATCAGTAGCAATAAGATATTAATAACTAGCATGAAAATGTCCAAAGTTTGTTTGCTCTCTTATTGTGATGTTTAAGGCTCCTATACATTAAAGCAGGGCTACTCAACTTTGGAAGCTCCGGAAGCCACAATGATATTCACAGCACATGCCAAGGGCTGCTATGTAAGTGTGGTTGCATATACATACAAATATATATGCAAATAACTTCTTTCACACTGACGCATAAATACAAAGCACTTCCCACAATGCCCCTGCACTCCCAGAACCTCCTCGTCAGGCAGACATCCTGTACCTGTCTGTTCCAGCCAGCCCATCTACTTGCGTGTTTCAATGCTCACCCTGACTGGGAGACACCTCGTCATTGTAGAGCATGTTCCCAGTGGAGACTATGTCAAAGGATCCCACCCGCAGGCCGCATGCTGAACCCCATATAAGTCAAAACTGCACCATGCAGGCCGTGCATGTTGAGTAGCCCCCCATTAAAAGATTGGTAAGGATCTCTGTAAACTGGGCACTTGTGCAGCATTTTAATCTGTCCTGAGTGGCCACACAACTGATTACCAGTGTGTCCACAGCCCTAAGATTTTAGTTTCAGCAAGTGGTGCCCATTTGCACATGACTCAGGGCAAGGGAATGTCAGAGTTTAACCCATTAATCGATTAGCTGATGCTTACTGGTTAATGTTATCAGTTAAACTCTTCCCTGCTCCTAGAGAGGAGGTTCTGCTATGGGAGTGGAGCCATCAAGGGCTGTCAGCCCCACTCCTGAGGATGCTTCACTGCAGGCTCTGCAGTATAAAGCTTATTTTCAGCAGTTATACAGTTACCATTTTAACATCCCTCCTTAGTGCACATTAGGGATGGTAACAAATGAGGTTTTTCTATAAATTTGTAACTGCTTAATTTTAAAGCGGTTACACATTTACACAAAGGGGAACGCAGGCACCAGTGCTCACAACTGGCTCCTGTCTGCCCCCCGCCCCGCCTCTGACCAACACAAGAGAACATAAGAACGGCCATACTGGGTCAGACCAAAGGTCCATCTAGCCCAGTAGCCTGTCTGCTGACAGTGGCCAGCACCAGGTGTCGCAGAAGGGATGGACCGAAGACAACGATAAAGCGATTTGTCTCCTGCCATCCTTCTCCAGCCTCTGACAAACAGAGGCCAGGAACACCATTTCTATCCTCTGGCTAACAGCCTTTTATGGACCTAACCTCCATGAAATTATCTAGCTTCTCTTTAAACTCTGTTATAGTCCTAGCCTTCACAGCCTCCTCTGGCAAGGAGTTCCACAGATTGACTACACTCTATGTGAGGAAGAACTTTCTTTTATTAGTTTTAAACCTGCTACCCATTAACTTCATTTGGTGTCCTCTAGTTCTTCTATTATGGGAACTATTAAATAATGTTTCTTTATTCACCCTCTCCACACCACTCATGATTTTATATACCTCTATCATATCCCCCCTAAGTCTCCTCTTTTCTAAACTGAAAAGTCCCAGTCGCTTTAACCTCTCTTCATATGGGACCCATTCCAAACCCCTAATCATTTTAGTTGCCCTTTTCTGAATCCTTTCTAAGGCCAAATATCTTTTTTGAGGTGAGGAGACCACATCTGTACACAGTATTCAAGATGTGGCCGTACCATAGTTTTATACAGGGGCAGTAAGATATTCCGTGTCTTATTTTCTATCCCTTTCTTAATAATTCCTAACATCCCATTTGCCTTTTTGACTGCCGCTGCACACTGTGTGGAAGTTTTCAGAGAACTGTCCACGATAACTCCAAGATCTCTTTCCTGATTTGTCGTAGCCAAATTAGCCCCCATCATACTGTATATATAGTTGGGGTTATTTTTTCCAACATGCATTTACACTTATCCACATTAAATTTCATGTGCCATTTTGTTGCCCAATCACTCAGTTTGGTGA